TGGAAAACAAGTTGACAGCTATATGAGAGAGCAAGTAGCACCACTAGGAAGAATTATATTTAATTATGTGTTGCTAAATACAGAATTTATGGAGTTAATGCTTAACAAGAACTAACAGAAATCATCACAGAATCACAGAATCATAGAATTACAGAATGACAGAATCACAGAATATGAGTTGGAAGGGATTCATGAGGATCACTGAGTCCAGCTCCTGGCCCTGCACAGGACCATCCCTAAGAGTCACCCCATGTGCCTGAGAGTATCTCTAAATGCTTCTTGAACTATATTAGGCTTGGTGCTGTGATCACTTCCCTGGGGAGCCTGTTCCAGCAACCGACTATCTGGGTGAAAAACCTTTTTCTAAAATCCAGCCTAAACCTCTCCTGACACAACTTCAGGCCATTCCCTTGAGTTCTGTCACTGGTCACCACAGAGAAGAGATCAGTGTCTGACCCTCCTCTTCCCCTCATGAGGAAGTTGTAGACTGCAATGAGATCTCCCCTCACTCTCCTCTTCCCCAAGCTGAACAGGCCAAGTGACCTCAGCCACCCCTTATACAATTTCTGCTCAACATCCTTCACAATCTTCGTTGCCCTCCCTTGGATGTTCTCTAAGAACTTAATAACTTTCCTATATTGCAGTGACCAAAATTACACGCAATATTCAAGGTGAGGCTACACCAGTGCAGCACCAGTGCAGACTAGCTTATAGCCAGCACTGAGACTGGACTGACATTTTCATGAGCAGTAAAAGGTATTTGGTGAATTTTTTGATTGGTTTGTTTGTTTTTTTGGTTTTGTTTTTTATGTGGGTTTTGCTGTTGCTGTTGTTGGGTTTTTTGTTTGGTTTTTGTTTGTTTGGTTTGGTTTTTTTTGGTTGGTTGGTTGGTTTGGTTTTTTTGTTTTTTTGTTTAAGCATAAAGCAAAAAACAATCTGTGAAAATATCAAATAATTAAATTTACTTTTTCTTTGTTACCATAGAAATAATAGTAGATGGACCCTCAAGAGGTCATCTGGGCTGATCCCAATCCTATCACATTGTCAGCAGTATCAAGTAAGTTTGTACAGAATAGCTTGAAGTAGGTATCACCTTGTAGGCAATTTAATGTACCATTCTCCTAAATTATTCTTCCTGTGACAGTGAGGAAACTATAGGATCATAGAATGGTTTGGGTTTGAAGGACCTGAAAGATCATCTAGTTCCAACCCCTCTGCCATGGGCAGGGACAGCTTTCACTAGGTCAAGGTTGCTCAAAGCCCCATCCAACTCGGTCTTGAACACCTCCAGGGATGGGGCATCCACAGCTTCTCTGGACAACCTGTTCCAGTGACTTACCACTCTCATGGTTAAATTTTTTTTCCCTTATATATAATCTAAACCTGCTCTCTTTTAGTTTGAAGTCATTCCCCCTTGTCTTGTCACTACATGCCCTTGTAAATAGTCTCTCTCTTTTCTTATAAGCTCACTTCAGGTACTGGAAGGCTGCAATTAGGTCAGTCTGAAGCCTTCTCTTTTCCAGGCTGAATAAACCCTGTTTTCTCAGCCTTTCCTCATGTTCCATCACTCCAATAGATGGCCTATGTTTACTACAAATTACTGATATTCTAATAGTTTAGTACACACTACTGTGGTGCAGTCCAATAAGATGTGCATGCTTTAGGAGAATGCATAGTTTATATTATGTGGGTCAAGGCTCTCCTTAAATGGAATTGTATCAATGACTTCAACAGAAATCAGGGCTGGTTTTGACTGCTTTCTTTATATTCTAGTGTTTATTCTTCTCTGAAGCAAATAAAATTAGGCAATTTTAACTGTCTTATGGTAATTCAATTTGGTGCAGGGTATCACAAAAAAACCCAAACAATAAAACAAAAAACCTAAAGAAAATATTTTAAGACACACATTATGAATTAAAAATACTGAAAACCACGGACTAGCTTCAAGAAGTATTTTGTCAGCCCTCAGGTGTGGTGATGCGCAACTTTTTCCCTTTCATATATAAATAAAAATTCTTATTTTTGTTCAGCCATGTTTTTGCAGGTTGAAAACAGTTTAGAGAAAGCTCATTAATACTTTATTTCTTACCAGCTGCCACTATCTGTAACATAAGATGGATGAATCACCAGCTGACATAATAGGAAGGTTATATTGCATAATGCACTATGAGATGATGTGAATACTGTATTATGCCTGTTATAGGAGAATGTTGATGATATAAAACATTTGATACATGCTACCAATGTTATCACAAGGTTTTCTGTTCATATCATGTCTATGTAACATGGAATCCTACAAGGTGCTGAGGCACTAATAATAGACGCCCCATAGCTTACCATATTCATATTCCATGACAGAAGCTACAAAGTCTAGTACAGCTGCTTCCCAGCAGGGCAATGTGCTCCTCAAACATAGGCTTTCTCACTATGCTGTGTACCTTTGTGTAGTAACAGGGATTTTTCAAATTTCTTTGTGTGAGCAGGGCTCATCTGGTTCACTTATTTCTAATATTGAAAAGGGGGTTTTGAAATTGTGTAAAATGATGATTATTAATAGGTGAAATTTTTAATGAAAAACTGCACTTGGATATGAAATCTTCAAAGAAGGCTTATGCTTCTCTGAGGGTGGCAAATTTTTTAAGGTAAAATGATGATGCTTTGGTATGAAACCCCATTTTATTTCCATGAGAGAATCCTTTTTCACTGTTCTTTGTCCAGAATAGACATTGAGCTGCTATATCACTACCATTTTGTCCATGCACAACCTCTTTCTTCTTTCTTGTCATTTTTGAATGCTGACTACCTTGTTAGATTCATAAGACCTCGATATTTTCAGTTTTAGTTCTCAAAAACACCTATTCTGCCAATTATATAGCAGACTGAAGATTAGTCTTCAGCATACAATGCCTCATAACTCATGCGGTTTCTATACAATCATAAAATCAGAATTATTTGGATTGCAAGGGACCTTAAAGATCATCCAGTTCCAACCCTCATGCCACAGGCTGGCACCCACCTCTCACTAGATCAGCTTGCTCAAAGCCCCACTGAACTTTGCTAGGGATGGAGCATCCACAGCTTCTCTGGGAAACCTGTTCCACTGCCTCACCACTCTCACAGTAAAGAATTTCCCTATATCTAACCTAAATTTCCTCTCTTTCGGTTTGAAACCATTGCTCCATATCCTATCAATATAGTTCCTGATGAAGGAATATCTTTATCATAGACTCGCTCTGGCAGTATTTAAGTGTGTTATGAGAAAAAGCTAAATTTGAGGCTGCTGCTGCTGGACTGTGCAGCACAGTGTTTGAACTGGAAAGTTTGGTCTTCATCGGTGCTGTCTAAGCTCCTCCTGAATCCCACAATTGTGTTGAATTTTTTTCTCTTATAAGCTATATGCCCAAGCCTGGCCTTGACTGCAAGCTATGGATCATGGTTCAACACTAGCAGAGACATATTCAACTTAATGTGATCTTCCTAGCAAATATCACTTTTTTTTTGTTAAAAAAAAAGGTTTGTTAAAACTTTTTTTACCCCTCTTTCTCTACCTAACAGGAAAAGTATAGTAGAAGATGAAAGATGTCTTGTTTGTTATTTAGTATATTTTAGCCACTTCAGGACTGGGAAAGTCTGAAGACATGATAATTGAATGGATTATACATTGGAAATGTACACTTCTCCATATGAAAAGGTAAAAGAAAGAGACCAAAGAAAACCAAAACCCTGACACTTGATTTTATCAGTGGTAGTGTCTTACGGAAATTACGGCCATTTCCAGAAATGATTTATGCATGCAAGTTAGGGAAACATAAAAGTTCATCCTGGATTTTTCCTATCTGCTAAGTCTTCCTTTGATTTTATTTTAATTAACCAAAGAGACAGTTCTCTTGCTCACTGACATTAAGAAGAAAAATTCATGGTGACTCTTCCAAAAAAGTTTGAATGGAGATGAATAGATGGTTTGAAATAGGTCAGAGAAGTTTCTCAGAACTAATTACACTAATTTACTGGCACTTTTCTGACTATAATTTCAGCAGCACTAATTCCTAAATATTGGAATATCTTCAGTTTTATAGTATCCTGGTTGCTCTGCCAAGAAATGTGATGTTTAAAACATAAGGCTTCTAACTGATCTTCAGTTTCTTGTTATCAGCTAAAGAAATGACAATCTGGTTAAAAATTAGATTCATAACTTGTCTCTGTGTGAGGTAGAGAAAGGGAATGTACTCATGAGAGCTAGAAAAGGTCTGAGGCAAAGAACTAGGCCAAGAAAACATCCTGGCATCAGTATTTTTGCTGTACCTCTCCCCACGTTTTACCTAGTGTAATGGGTGTAGGTGGAAATGCCTTGGCAGTGAGATGGCTAAAGAGGGGGCACTTTCCTGTGCTGGATGCAGTTGGTTCCAGCTGGCTCCAGTGGACCCACTGCAGGGCACAGCTGAGACCCTCAGCCAACTATAATTAAGAAAGGGCAAAACACTGCATGGGAGCTGAGAGAGGAGTGAGAAAGAAAAGGGCAAGAAATAGCCCTGCAGACAGCAAGGTGAGAGGCAGAGAGGGAGGAGGTGGTCCAGGGGTTAGAGCAGAGCAGAAACTGGAGCAGATATCCACACTGCAAGCCGTGAAGGACCCCATGCTGGAGCAGGTGGATATTTTCTGAAGGAAGCTGCAGTCTGCAGAGAGTCCATGCCTACATCCCATGGGAAGGACCCGTGATGGAATGGGGGAAAAGAGTGAGAGGGAAGGAACAGCAGAGAAGAACTGTTATGGACTGACCACTACCCCCATTTCCCATCACCCTGCTCCATTTGGCCATGAGGTAGAGGAATCAAGAATGAAGGAGTTAAGTCAGACCTGGGAGAAAGGGTGAGGTGGTGCTTTAGGTTTTTTTCTCGTCATTTGAATGTATTTTAATTAGCAAAAATTTAAATAAATTTCCCCTAAATGGATTTTGATTTGTCTGTGAAATGGTAATTACTAAATGATCTCCCTGTATTTACCTCAACTCACAAGGTTCTTTGTGTTATTTTTCTACCTGTCCTACTGAAGAACAAGAGAGCACCTGAGTGGCTGTTTGGCAGCCAGCCAAGGTCAACCCACCACACCGATGTAGTTAGTGGCCAGTCTTCAAATTCTTTGTTTCCTTGAAGGGAGTTAGATGACAACTAATCTGCAGAAGTAAAAGGAAGAAGAGTAAGACAAGAGGATAGAAAAGCACAAAAGCAATGTAATTGGATAGTGAGGTCATCGGATGTCCATAATAATAAAGAGTTTCCTTTTTTCAAATATTATTCAGGGGGAAGTAGAATCTATGAACTTCATAGGGCCAGATTTTCATCGTTGCAAATCATATCTCCTTTGCTTCCATAATAGCTATGCCAATTTGTGACAGATGAAGATGTATGGTACCTTGAAATGATCTTGCAGTACAAAGTAGTTTAGAAAACCTGTCTTTTAGCATAATAAAAGAGACTGTCTAATGTTTATTGATTTTTTTTGTGTCTGTGTGTGTGTTTTTTTTTTTCCCCAGTGTTTCGCATTTCAGAAATAGGAACATATATTTGAAACTCTAATGATAAGGTTAAAATTCCCAAGGATTCAACAAAGACAGAAACAAGAGAGAAGATGGTGAAGGTTGTCGGATATGTAGTACAGTATATGGATATTTAGAGTTTAGGTCTCTAAGGCATAATCAGAATCTAACTTGCATGTGCAATATAGACAGTTTTGTCAGAGCTCTCTCCTTGCCTAATGCCTTTTCCCCACAATTCTTCTATGTTTCTTTGCTTTGCTATTTTCTGTTCCAAATGTTCTGATTTTTTATCTACTTTTTTTTTTAGCCCTCCCCTCCATTACTTTCTAGTTCTATTTTACAATCTTTTCAGAACCCAGCAGTTATGGTTTTCACATTCAGTTTCAACAAATGTGTTTCATATTAAGCAAAATGGGCACATCCATTATTATTGAACACACTCTTCTTTTGAGAAGTAGTAGTAACTTGGGCTATGTGTGCATTCCTATGTATGACTATATACAGAAGCTTTCCTACTTTTCAGAAAAGCACAATAAAATCTGTTTGGTACTTTACGAAGCTGTGAATCAGCATATTTTTTGCAGTTTGTATTTTTTTTAGCTTAGTATCTGAAATCAGAATTGTTCCAAAATATGTTCCGAAATGTGCAAGTTTTCTTCTAATTCTCTTTTAACTGATAAGATTAATTGACAAAAACCAGCAAACTGAACTGACAGGGACAGTCATTCTACCGGAAAACAGTAACAGATATATACGACAAGAAGAATCCCCCAAAATTGGTAAAGATCTAGTTGTCTTGGAAATATTACAAGGATACATTTACAAAGAAAGTATTGCTGCAACACACTAATAAATTCAAAATTCTCTATTAAAATGATTAAATATTTTAGTTGATTAAATAATAATATCAGCTCCTCTGCTGCTCAGCACAACTTGAACTTCAGAGAACATTAAACAGAGATTTAAAGAAAATTTAACTCTTGTCACTGCTGAAAAAAAATTTCTGTTCATTCAAGATAAATGTTTTTCTGAATTCAAATTTTTCACTTTAGAAAAGTGATTCAGTCCCTCCTTAAAGTATAGATATAAGAATCTGAATATGATGCTTATATTGTGATCTGCTTACTTACAAATAAAGTTGGCAATAAAGTTTAAAGGACTCTGTTTCAGCATGAGTTGATTTACCACCTCCATTAAATTGATTCTGTGGATGATCATACTGTGCCATCCTTTCCTTGCAAGTACCAACCTCTGTTACAAAATTTCTCATTTTTTGTATATCATAATTCTTAATCTTCCACAACCTCATTGCTTTGACACCTGCTGCTTCTCAGCCTATTGTTAAAAGTTTATGCTTAAAAATAAACCTCAAATCTCAGTTAGATACGTCTTTGGTGTTTTTCCACTTCCTGTTTCTTTGCAAAGAGCAACAAAATCCTTTCTTGATTTACATTTTGCCGAACTTCCGTTTCTGTTATAGAACAAGTGTCCCATATGAGAGGTCATATTAAGACTCCTTTTTTTTTCTTGAGGTTAAACTTCCAGTTTTCTAAATTTCAGTTTTAAAAGTTGGACTCAGTATTTTTAAATAATTCTCACCAGGACTACTGACTCATAGAAAGTGGATTAGGAAAAGATTCCAGGAGTTTACCTTCCTACTTGGTGTAGCACCATATATAATTTTCTACAGATGGTTTTCCTAATATCCTTCTAACTCTGCTATTAATTTTAATGTTTGTATGAGCATGATTACTTCTCCATAATCTTGTTTGATTCATAGAATCAAAAATACCAGGTTGGAAGGGGACTTCAAGGATCATCTGGTTTAACTTTTCTTGACAAAAACATGGTCTAGACAAACTGCCCCAGCATCCTGTCCAGCTGAAATTGTGTAAGGTTGGAGAATCCACCACTTCCATGGGGAGATTATTCCAATGGCTGATTGTTCTAATGGTGAAAAATTTTCCTCTTGTGTTCAACTGGAATCTCCACAGCAGTAACTTGTACCCAATACCCCTTGCCTTTTCCATGTGACTCCTTGTAAAAAGAGAATCTCCACCGTCTTTGTAGCTGCCCTTTAAATACTAGAACATGATTATAAGATCTCTTCTAGGCTTTATTTTCTCAAGCTGAACAAACTTAATTGTCTCAGCCTTTCCTCGTATGACAAGCATGCTTGTTCTTTGGTGATCTTTGTGGCTCTTCAATAATCTTTGTGTTCCTTCTTGAAACCTCTCCAACCTGACTACATCTTCAATAGTAACATAATTCAGTCAGTTTTTTTCTATCTGTTATTTGCTTTCAGTTTATAGAAGTTAATCCAAATATTATCCAAGTTTAATTATTTTGCACTTTGGACTACTTGATCTTACCCCATCGTTTTTAATATGGTTCATGTATCAATGTCTTTTGAATCTTTCTATACGATTTTTCCATGTTCCTTGTACTGATATTTTCCATCTTTGTCTTATCAATATATTTCACCATCCTATATCATTGAAAATATTGAATTACATTGGTCTCATAGTTTTCTGTGGTTTCTGATGCTTAATGATCTTTACAACAAGATAATGAAAAACTATAGAAAATTTCTAAGTTAACGTTACTTTCCATGATTATGCATGGCATTTTTTCCATTTTCCAGCAATGTCATAGTGAAATATCCAGAGAACGATAGGAATTAGACCAAAGTTCCAGATACCAAAGACAAATTAGGAAAACTTGAAGAACCTTCTTTCATACTTCATATCAGATCACTAGGTAAAACTTGACCCTGTCAGACATTCTGATCAGTTAGCCTAAGTAATGCTAATATTAAAAAAAGCCCTCATAAGTACCATATCCTTTACACGAAAACATGATCTAGGAGTATTGCACAGAACATAGTTAATCACATATTAATTAAATCATAATTAAATCACAGTCATATACAGAAAATATTAGCAACATAATAGCTACATCAAGAGTCATGAAAACAATTTTTCAAAACAAACTCAATGTAAAAAAAAAAAATCAATATAATTATGTTTTGAGTTTTTTTTCCATTTCATAGTATGATTCTTTCCCTAGACACTAAAGATAAATCTATGGTTTTTTGAACCATAAATTTTCTAGTCTCAGTTGTAGCACCTTGTATCAATAACCTGCAATGTAATCTGGCTGCAGCTGACTGATTGTGCATTATCCTCCCTCTGGAAGGGAAAATCTTTAGTGTTGCTCAGCCCAAGAATATTTTCAGCACATAAAGCTCCTGACCCTGAGACAGACTTCTCTGCCTGAGATAAGGAAAAGAAGGGAATGGCTCTTTGTACATCTTGACACAAGTGTTAGCTTTGTGGATAGCTTTTCAGAGCCAAAGTGGAGACGAAAGTAAGATAAGAATCAGAGTGAATACCTGTGTCTCTGATTTCACCCTTCTCACCCATACTGTTGTGGGAGGCTTTGATATGAGTCTCAGCAGCAGAGAGGATGCCAAGAAAACTCACCACTCTGATGCCATCTTACACTCCTCTAGCATTACTTTACAGTCCAGAGGAAAGGCTATTGCACTTCTGCCCCTCTGTGGCCCTTGTAGCTCTATGGAGGAGCCCTTGTTTGATCTATGGAGTCAGAGTAGAGTACAGGGATAATACACATTCCAACACAGGACAGCCTGTAAAATAGACACAACTTCAACAAATTGCTTCACTTTGGCGATGACATGACTTAAGCTAACCTTCCTTCTCAGTATGGCAAAGGCCCTTGTAGAAATCTGAGTGTGCTTCAGAGAGGTATACTTGAGAGTAGGAGAGAAAATGGCACACCTAACAGACTTTCCTATGTGTTTCTTCATTTCTTAGCCTATCACTTTTGATCACTTGATGTGATCTAGTTCTCATTATTTGTATTTAGAACAGTGTACACTGATACCAAAGTTTATTTTTTAGCTTTATTTCTGAACTATATGAAAAGAAAAATACATGGAATATAGAATAAGCCTGGACTGAAAAATGAAAAATTACTATTTATTTGTTTGTGTAGTTAGCTAGTAAGTGTCTGTTGTCTATGATTTTATTCTATTTTCATTGTTTACTGTTATCAGATCTGGAAGGGAAGCTGCCAGGAAAATTGCTTACTTTACAGATCACTGGTTAAACTCCAGAAAGTCAGCTGGCATAAAAAATGCCTAAGCTCAGAAAGAGACTTCAAAGTTTTTGTAGCATTGTTCTGAACTTCTGATCCATAAAAGAGTTATCAGAACTCAAAAGCAAAGTGATCTGCTGAACACTTTCAAGCAGAATGATTTGGGTTATCAATTAGATTATGCAAATGCAATTACAAATTACTATATACCTTGAAATATGAACAAAAACATGCTCATTCTTATCTCAATCTATTGCAGGTACAAGCAAACTTTAAATCAGGCACATTGTCAATTTTAATAGAATTGTTTTTATCAAGATGAAGCCTCTTCTTAAGATTAAGGAGATTTATTGAGACCAAAATGTATGTTTCTGGATTATGGACATTAGGGAACTAATGGTTCATAAGTTTTCAATTTTACAAAAGGATAGAAATTACCAGATTGCCTGCTCAGGGGTCCATCCTATCTCAGGACATGACACAAAACTGAAAAAAAATGGAACTTTCCCATTGATTCCAAAAAGCTCTGTCCCAGACCTTATAGCGGGCCTTATGTAGCTCTTGAAAATGGAAACAAATGAACCATCAGAACAATTTTAGATACTTTCTTGGGAAGAGGCCAACTGTTATAGAGTATCCAATTTTGTATATGGGGAAAAAAAATATCATGGAATGGTTCTTTAGCACTGCTAGTCAGGATAGTTGTTACGTTTCTAAAAGAAAGCAAAAGGAAATTTAAAGATGAAATCTGAGGTGTTTTTATCCATATAGACTTGTCTGTTCTCTTCATAAGTCCCTTTAGCTGCTACAGAGGATTTTGGCTACTTATCATGAAGAAAATCCTTGTCTGACATACAGCTTCATGTTTGAGTTCTCTTCAAGACAGTAAAGAAAAACTCTGGTATAAAGCCCACCAGCAATTTTTGTTAGTATAAAAAATCTGAGTTGTCTTTTTGTTCTGAGATGGCTTCAGTGAATTTCAGCTCATCTTATCTGCTAAGAGTAGAGATTGAAGTACAATTTTTAAACAAATCTAAAGGTGTCATGTTTGTGGGGAGGTGTTGTACTTCCTATTTCAATTACTTCCTCGAATTTTTTATTTATTTTTTTTTTGTTTTTAAAATGCAGGGTTTGATTTTTTACTGAAACCTCTTTTCGATGTATTCATGGGATTTCTTAAAGTCCTCTAGGGGTAAAATCTGAAATGAATTGACTTATCTGAGAAAAAAAATATACCACTGATATCATTGCCTAGAGAAATATTAGAAAAAAACCAAATAAATAATAATAGCAGAATCATTCCAAAGAGAAAAGAGACTCCAGAGACAGAGTGTTTTCTTGCACATGCAGTATATTAGAGATGCAAGTTACCTCAAGGCTTTGAATTGATTTGATTTTTCTGTGGTTGGTTTAACTCAATATTTCAAGGTCTTTGATTCTATATTAGGTTGCTCTTTGCCTCTTCATTATGTTTTTATTTTGAAATATTATGATCAGAAGCACTATTTTGAATGTCATGTATTCACACATATTTGAATACACAGGAATACATAAGAGCACTTGTGTTTTATATGACCTCATTATTCCCTAGGTTAAAGTGATTCTTAGTCACTTCTTCCCTTCACCAATCCAAACTCTTTCCCCCCACCTCCGCTCTTCCTCACATATACATTTAATACTTTCGGAGAAATATAATTCAAGACGCTAGCTACTGTGGTAAAATAAGTGAAGATATTGAGGGTTCCTGTGAACAGTGCATGATTTTGGTCAATTATTAAGAATGAAGTTTGTGATCATCTTCTCATGAGTATCATGCTGAACAACTTAGAGAAGGAGAAGGAGAAAACACATGATTTGTCTTTGCAGATTACCCTAGACTCAACATACACTATAGACCGATCTCAACTACATTGGCTGTAATGGTACCTTTCCAGCAATTGAGGTCTGTCTTTAAACAAAGACGGCTATAAAATGAAATGCTGAAGTGACTTTGCCTCTACCACATGAGAAAATGTTAAGAAGTGAGGTAACAACTGGATTTCTTTTAGTTTGTTTATTTTTAGTTTTGGCAAGCTGTCAATAGCTAAGCAGATAGCATCCTGTATGACTTTTTTGAAAAACAAGAAAAATAATTCACATGTTGTAGTTACATTCATTTAGCTCTCATATGTGAAACATAACTGTTTTTTGGAAAGTCATTTATTTAAACTGCTTCTATTATTTTGTAAAATCCCCTAGAGTCGATACAGACATTGTATGAAGAGTTTCCAACAGATTGATTTATGAGTTCAAGACTGACCATAAACTTTACTGTATGACATTCCTTAATGCATTTTTAAATGTCTGAAAACTATCAAACTGGATTAAGGATTTCATTGTTTGTGATTATTTTTTTATGTGTCTTATATGTAAAGAGATTACTGTCTTTTTGTTTTATTAATATTTAGCAGTTTTATTCTATGTCAAAAACCTGAGGCATTTAGCACTTATTTGCAATGTGTCATGCAGTTATAACATAGGTGCCACCCGTACAGTACAAGCAAAAGGGGATTTTTCTGCCCATAAGAGTTTACAAAAACACCTGAAAGGTAAATATGATACCTAATTCTCTCTAAGAACCATGACAATGAGAGCAGCAGAGGAGCATGTAGGGGAGGTGATGAACAAAAGGGGTCAAAGGCAGACATGGTAATTCTCTGTGACTGAGCGGTACATCCTCCTCAGGCAAGGTGGGAGCTGAAACAGCTTTTCCATTCAGTCTAACCTTCCCAGGGAACATTTCTGGGGACACTTCGAAGGCAATTGTGAAAATATTCCTGTGTGGGAGAGGTAAGTGAGCTCAGTGTCTCAAACCCTGTTGCTGGAGATACAGTCAGCTGCAGTGCGAGTAGTCCCCAGGCTACCAGCTACCTCCACTGTCCTTACAGATGGGGTCCTCTCTGTTGAACAGAGGGATGAGACCTATCAGCAGTTTGTGTTGCTGCTACCTGATACAACTACAACCATGTTGCTTGTGTTTATAATAAGGCCTTCTCCCACTTGGTCATCTCTTAGTGCAGTAGGCCTTGTTGCTATAATTGCTGAGATGTATCTCTGCTGTACTTAAGCTGATGCATATTTGCTCTGATGGTGGCAGACAACGTTTTTTATCCCCTTGCCTTGGCAAGTCTATTCAGAACTGATTTCAAAATCTGGCATTCCACGTTCATACTTCAATGGCCAATAAATATTTAAATAAATAGATAAATGAATAGATAAATGTAGGTGGGATGGTGCGAGTCACAGAAAAGGCCTCCACACAGTGTGAACACTGCTCAGCAGTAACTACATCATCATTGTCTGTAGCAGGATACTCTGCCCTTGGACTGTGGTCAAACAACTCGAACAATGCCTTATTTTGCAAGCTGTCAGTGATGGGCTGAGAGGCGTGACAGGTGCTGCTTTTGGTATTGAATTATGCTAAAACTAGGGTTATAGATAGTGTGTCTAAACGCTGCTGATGCTTTTGAGAAAGCACGCAGGATTACTCCTAAGGAGAAAAGACAACACAGAAAGATTCATGCCCTGCAGAATATACCACCTAAGGAGTCTTTCTGCTGTGCCTTTTGCATCCGGACATGCCTGTCTCGTATTGGTCTTTTTAGCCACCAGCGTGCTTGTAACAAACGTGGGTAGAGTCCTCCTCAAATCTTCCTTTGGGAAGCCTAGCCATGATGATGCTAAAACCAGTCTGGCACATCAACTCTAAATTAACATCCTGATAGTGAGGCAAAGATTTGGCAGATAAGCTGCTAAACTGACCTGGAGACACTTTTTGTTTAGACCTGACAGTCAACCTCTTTATACTATAAAATTCCAGTCCACTTTCATGCAATCAGATTCTTCTAACACACTCTTCTTGGAGTGTGTGGAGATTCTCCCTTGAAGTGGGGATGCCACTTCAAGGATACTGCTGGACGCCAAGAGAAAGAGATCTGCCCATGAACATTGGTATGGTGAGTTACATCAAATCTCTACTTAATAACTATGGGCTTTTTGCTAGCTTTAATATAATTGCTTTGATACAGTGCACTATACTATACACTACTGTAGTTTCAGCTTTTATATTTTGTAGTAAATAGTTCTGATTATTATCTTTTTTCTAATCATCTGTAATAATAATTAATTCATTTTATATTAGTATTCCAGCTTTACCATCTTTTATCCTGTGGGAAAAAGTTACACTTAAACATTGAAGTCTGGAGCTAAGACCGGATCTAGCTGCACCTAGTCTCCTCTCTGAGAAGGAGTTTAGAAGGTAATGGGGGTCCTTTCTGCACTTCCTGCTTCAATGGGAGAGCTTCTCTAACAAATTTGTCTAAAGACCCACTAATGTGCAACAGTGTGATCAATGCTATTTTCATCAGAAATCCAAAACATAGCCCTGTACAAGCTACTATGAGTAAACTTTACTCTATCCCAGCCAAAACCAGTACAGGATGAAAAAAAGAAAAACCCTGCCCGTCAGTAGCTGTGTTACTTGGTTACATCAACTTATCACATACAAATTGGTTGCCTCAATAACAGTTTGAGGTGAATCTCCATCCTTCCTCAGGATATAAATATAACATGTTCAAGTACAAAAAACCCTCATATGAAATATTATAGGTTAAGCTACAAATATTTTGGTACACTGAAGACATAAGAAAAAAATATTGATAAACTTTCTCCAGAAATCTCATCATTCATCCTGTATAAAATACTTTAGAAATGCAGAAATACCTTCATCAGAGCAATGTAAGACAGATAAAACATCACAGGTTGGTGTATTTATATTCTGTATCGTTACACTTCGATTCTACTTATTTGTTCTGCATCTCTGTATCTCAGTGAACATAATTCAGATTTGAATTTTCACAGTGAAAAATCAGTAACAAGGAAAAATCACAACTGTTTAGATCTAGACATTTTTGTCACATATTTCATTAACTTCTTGTGTAAAATATGGTCTATTACTTCTTATAGGAGTGTTTAGGAGCTTCTTTGGTGGAAAAAGGCACTGTCTGTAAGTGTGAGACTTTCACGGCATTCTCCTGTATTCAGACCCAGTCAAATATGATTCTGTGAGACTAAAACTGTTCAAAATACATTATAGAGTGGAAACCTTTTCCAAGACCTGTATTGAAAATAAATATATAATACTGAAGAAGTATATAAAAATAATAATGATCTAATATTATTGATTGTATGCCACTTGTTCTATTTTCCCATTTTCTTGCCCTTTTTTTCTGAATGTTTATAGATTAGAGATCAAGATGACTGCTCTTTAACTTGTTTCTAACTTTCCCATCTCTTTCCTATTACAAATTTTTATTTTTTCTATAATTCTGCTTATCTTGAGATTACTTTTTAAATTTCTTTTAGCCTTTTTCTTATTTCTCTTAGCTATGCTATCCTCATGTAATTTTTAACTCATTTTTTTACTTTATATAACTTATACACGTTTCCTCTTATGCTTCTTTTTGTCCATCAATTAAAAATATGCAATTTAATTTGAACACCAAAGATCTGGAAACACCAAAAAGGCCCCGTGTGTTATGCTATCTATGCCAGGTTTTATTTTACAGGAACATGAGGTAGGGTATCATCTGGTAGGGTGGATTAATGTCTGCTACTGTTGGATGGTTTCCATTAACAAGCATTTTTTCCTACTGTCTGTTTATCTTGCTCAGTAAGAGCAACCCTATTCCCCTTATTTCTCCCTCTTTTTTTCTCAGTATGACATCTGTGTCTCATAGCCAGGAGCAGACAACCCACACAGAAGTTTCTTTGTGCAACGGCAAACCTAATTTTCCTCACAGTTCTTGAATGTTTGAGTTGTCTTCTCTGTCCTCTTTTAGCTTGTTTGAGATTTTTTTTTCTATGTTTGATATTCAGGTAGTCCTGTGTTTCCTGTTCAACTCTGTAACTAGCATTGTGCCACCTCTCTTTATCACTCTATCTATCCCCCTCATCATGCATGGATGGATTAGGGGATGCATGGTAGGATTAGGAGGAGGATGAGCTAGGATCTGATGTCCCTTTCTCCTAAAAGGAAAAGAGCATTTACTCCAGATATTTCTGTTCTTGCTGAAGCTGAGATGACAGACAAAAGGAAGGACTGTCAGTTCCCATCTGAAACCAATCTTTCCTTCTTAGCCTCTCCTCACCCTTCTTTCACAACAAAAAATGATAAATAACTGCAGCCCTCTCACTAGGAAAACTGTGTACATTTTCAATGCTCATCTTGAGTATCAATTCCAAGACCACACACAAATAAGATGGAAATGCAAATGTGTACGTACTTTGAAGAGACAAAGTCCTATGCATGGACTAAGTATGATTATGATGACTATTAGTGATCCTAAGTACTGTGTGATTTTTTAGGGCAGAACTGAGACTAGTTTGACATATCAAAGGGAAGTTAGCTTAGATTTGAGGCTCTGCTTTAACTAAGTCAATTTCACACCTGCTCCCTTTGTCAGTCTATATGTTTGTCATCAAGGAAAAATCCTCTCCACATGAGCATTTGCAGTGGGAATGATTATGACACATTTCATTATCTTCAGTAAATTGGATGGTTCAGTCCTTGAACTGCTGAATGCCCCACACAGATCTCATCCACATTGCAGACTTCACTCAGTTATAGCGTAATTGAGTTGAACTCGTCACATAGAGCCTATGCTTCTATCTCTGCTGCACAGAGGAATTTTTTTCAACTGTAGTTCAGAGCATGAAGGGTTTATTTTGCCCCAAACCTAAAAAAAAAACCTACCCATTTTGATACCATTTAAAGTCAGTGGAATTGAACGATTTGAGTAAGTAATCAATAAGAGCCCTTATTTTTTTTTGATTTCTTAAGTATTAGTTGGAATTTCTAAAGCTACAAATTGATTTTTTTATATATCCAAAATATTCTCTTCTTTGAATCAGTCCATTTCCATTGTACCTCGAAACAGTTATTGCCTCATTTGTTCCTATTCAAGAGTGTTAATTACACCTGACAACATTTTTACTCTATTATTGAAGCATTTTTCAGGTTAAAGCACATCAAGGGCTTCCGTGTAATGGAGCTAAAGGACGTTGAATCAGACTAAACAGCCTTTTCCTGCATTTCATTATCCCTTTTCTCTAGCAAAGGCTAGAATTCAGTATTTCAGAGTGGTTTAGAAACTATAACCTGGGGTTATAGTTCTCACAGCCTTAACAGAAATAATACAATATGTGTCCTGCTATAACGAACATTTAATACATATTCTTATAAAGCACTGGAAATTATGTATGGAATAATATATGAAATACCATTTTGACAAAAGCTGTTTTCTGGTGTTAATTTTCCTCACAGAAGTCTTTCTGTCAAGTGGAAAAAATCACCTAGAAGCAAGATTTAAAGTCAAGGTTTACATCTGTGTGTTTCAAGACCCCATATAAACACATTTCTCACTCATCTTTCAGAGGTGAGTTGGCAGTCTCTGGAGTGTGACCACAATGCATAAGGTATGTGTCACCTTGTGACACTTGCTGGATTGATTCCTTCAAGTAAGGTGGTTTGAGGAATTCCTGCTTTACAGTTCTCAGTGGGGTTTAGAGATGAGAGAGATTTCAAGCTGCCAGGTGCCAAGGGCAGAAGCAGAACTTTAAGTTTCAGTGAAGTTTTACACTGGAATAATACACTCACAAATTTTGTAGGTGCCTCCAGGTGGTTAAGTCTTCAGATAATTATAAAGGTATCCAATTTTCATAGAAAAATAGAGTACAGACAAAGAGTATTCACCATTTTTCAGCAGAAGCTGCCAGCTAGCAATTATGAAATGGCTCAAAAACAAATTGAGAGGGTGGGCTTGTTTAGGTTTTGATCTTTGCTTTTGTTTTGTCTTCAGTCTTAATAATATGGAAGAGTTTTCAAGTAAGAAGGGTCACGAGGAAACCGCTAATAATTTCCCACTTACAGAAAATGCTTTGTTTATATTTGCATTAATCCCTCCATCCTAAACTCTGTGTCACACAAACACAAAAAGATAATCTTCTTATGTTGGTGAACTGTACAAGTGTCTCACACCACTTTTTTTAATCAGAGGAACTTTAGCCACAACAATTGAAGCATTGTGATTCAGAATGAGTATTGGTCAAGATGGAGAGAGAGAAGAGATTGTTGAGGAAGCCTTCAACATTTGAAGGTCAACTTGTTTACTACAAGATCTGCAGTATCATGAGCAATATATGAATTAATTGTTAAGGAGATGAGTTTTTTCCCAAGAATCAGCAAATAAAACTGGAGGAGATGCCACATGTGAAGCCACATTGTTGTGCAGAAAAATAGTGTCTCTCTACCAAATCTTGATTTATAAGGCAAGTGAAACAGCAGTACTTCCATCACCCTTATCACAGAAAGAGCAGTTTCCTGGATAAATTCAATGAAACAATCAAAAAGAGAGTTGTTAGGGCTAGTTTGATGTATGAATGCAGATAGTTAAGATTCCCTTAATACTTATTAGCCCTTCCTCTGCTAGTGAGATTTACCAGAAAATCATATATTGAGATACAGACTCGAGGCAAAGAGAAGTAATGCATGATTTGTGATGATCTATATGACTTGCCTTATGAAGAAATAAATTTGATCACAATATTATGTCTCCAATGACATTTCCAGTGAGCAAAGTTCCCATCATCTTGCTGACTTTATTTTAGAGAATGTTACATAAAAGGGTATTAACATTTTAGTCAGTAGACATAGTCTTTTCTTTACAGCTTTGAATTTGTTTCTTGAAAAAGATTAAAAATTTGTCAATTTTAGGAAAGACATAAGGTATAATTAACATAATCAAAAAACCCACAATGAAAATATAACTAGGGAAGGCTAAAAGAGAATTACCTCATCAGAGTTGAAATTATGGTGTGGAATGAGTGGAAGGGGAATGTGAATTCTATGTGTAAACTACTCCCATGTGAAAGGCATCAATCCATCTTAGTCTCCATTATATAAATGCAGTAGAAGTGTTGCACAGGAGGCAAAGAAAGGAGGATTAACGGGTTTTTTTTAAATTTATTTCCAGAGTTGCCATGGAATAAAATACACTTAAGAACTCTTCAGGTGCACATACTTAATTCTTAATGTAATTTATTCACATCCTATAAGAATACATTGCTATTTTGAAAGCTAAAATATTTTTTAGAAGGTTTAGGATTTTAATTCTAGAAATCTATTGCAGATTTGCTTCCTAAAATTATATCTGATTGTATTTAAAACTTAGTAGTTAACATCGTAAAGTCATTTAATTATTTTTAATTCATTTGCTAATCTTCATAATAAAATTAATCATGATGAATTAACTTGGCAATAATGGGGTTGCCATAAGTGCTTATAGAGGATTTGCAGTATATCGTCAGCAGTAAGGGCTGGATGTTTTCACTTGCTGTTTTCTTTCTATAGATGTCAGACGTAAGAGTTCAGTAATTGGAGAGAAGAACAAGCTTTACATCCTTTTTGAAAGCATGCTGGTATTTTGGACATTTAGCTAGACATGATAATTTTGAATATTAAAAAAATAGCAAGTTTTTTCAGAAGTGGAACTAGTAAGGAAACATGTTTGAGAGGAAAACATTTTCTTTTTTGGCTTAAATATAAAACCAGAGCACAGACCAAAAATAGTGTAAAAAAATATCTTTTAGCCCCAAATACCGATTACCTTCCACTAACACCATTATTAAAGACAAGTGGCATCTAGACTCACTTTATCCTGTTAATGAAAATAAGTTACTTTTGCTGTTAACCTTTTGAAAGAAATTTCATTTAAAAAGTAGCTATACTGTAACTGGAACAACAAATGGAGAATATCTGTGCAGAAGAAATACTTCAGAGGCTTTTTTTTTTCATACAAACTCTATCTGCTTTCTATTTAACATTATATTTCTATCATAGTGCAGGAATTTCTTGTAGATAATTATTTAACAGGTTTAAATAAGAAAAAAAAGAACTTTTTAACTGAGATATTTACTGAAGCTTTTTACAGTGAGACTTTTTTGATTGTGGAATTTTTTTAATATATTCAGCATGACTTGTATACCCTCAGATTATTAAGAAAGTATCATCTAGGCAAACACTGCTGTCAGTGACATGATATCAGTTTATAGCATGGTATCATGATACTGCTTTCATAGTGTCTCTTTGCATACTGAAAGAATATTTTGTGTTCCACTTCTTGAGTTTTTCTTTGTGTTTTTGTTTAATTAAATCACAGTTATCATGAAGTAGCCGTCTTTTGTAAATGTGCCCTTCTCCAGAAACAGTATGATCTGTGTTGACACATAAAATATAAAAATCCAAAGGTATTAATGCTGTATGTGATCAAATGAGAAGTTCAGTTCACATTTGTTAATTTCTCTCAGTGCTCATTTATTCATTTATTTCAATGAGTATTTGCTTTTTTCTAATCCATTGCTTCGTATGGCAACAGTGAACAAGACAATGATGTCCCCCAGAATATCACGGCAACAACTGTCCTAAGAGGGCATTTCTTCAATGTGTCTTCTTGCAGGTGTCTTGGGGGAAATTCACTTCACTGGAGAGGAAGCAATGAATCAATATTTGCTGCAACTTCTGGGATTTCAGAAACCACATTAAAATCCGATTAAATAGTTTATTTTAAAAAATACTAAAGGGTTTTTTAATTATTTTCTAATTTTCAGGTTCAAAATAATACATCAAATACAATATTTTTTAAAATCTATTTGTTTTGTTCGATGTATCATTTTATTCACAGAAACCCTTAGATGTTGACTGTGAATTTTGTTCTTCAAATAAATATTCCTAATTTATTTTTTTAGTGCAAATGACTTGGTCAGAGGTTCTCTGAAGATTTCCCCTGTGAATTACCTGTTTTCTTTAGAGGCTTCAAACTTTTCTTTGGATTCTTCTTTTCCTATTTATTGTGCTGTACTTCTGGAGATGTTCCATTATTTAATGGTCCAAGACCAAAGAACTGCACAGGCCACATGTAGTTTGTTTAGATCAAAACACCAGTTTCATCCTCTGAGAACTGTTCAACATATCCATCCAAATGCAGTTGTAGCTGATGTCATGCAGGGACTAAGGTTGTAGTGGATATACTCCTCTACGTACCTATGACCTCCAAATCTGCATGTTATTACATTATTTATGATTTATTATATTATTTTTAATAACTCTTTGGATTACTGTTCTGCTTTGGAGAAAACTGATGTATGTGGAGCTTTATAAACAAACAAAAAAATTTCATCAATGTGGACTGTCAAAATTATATTTACTTTTATTTTTTTTCTGAGCCCATCTAAGTTTTTGAGAAACAGCTTTGTAGGTATTTTTTACATAATAATGCAGATGCTAATGCTAAGGATTTTAATGACAAGAGGCGGAATATGACTGAATACAGGGTGCTATAAGCGTGTTTTCTTTATGTCACGACACAGTGTTTAGTAGACATAACCGAGATGCTCCTAAAGAAGCAGTCCAAGCTTGCTTACTGTGCTTTCAGTAACAAAAACAATTGTTAAAATTTATTTATTAAAAAGCAGAATTACAGTTTTTCCAACCATACAATGCTATTTTATCAGGCTTTCTACAAAATTAAACATTGTCTAATTAAATGATATATGTATATAATATTATGTGAATACTTTGGCATTTTCTCTTTGTCTGCCATTAATGACAGTAGGAACCCTGCTAAACTGAGCAGTGAAAAGAAAGCTTAAAGTAAAAAAAACCCCAGATTTTCTCAGTCTTCAATGTTCTTCAATATCATGTTATTTCATTGATACTGGTGAGTTGGTTGTGTACAATATTATTTAAACATAGTCTTAAGTGTCAGAACAGCTTGTTCATTTTATTGTCAACATACTTTATTGTTTACAATTCAATAACTTGTAGAGGCTGTTGCTCAGATTTCATGTAATGCTTGGCATTATTCTAGGAGATACCAAGAAACTGTTCTGAATCTAAAGAGCTTTTCAATGTAAAGACAGAATAGCAGGAAGGGAAAACAATCTTTCCTTTTTTAGGTAGTACATCAATTTAGGAAGAATAAACAAATGTGTCTGTTATCTACAAAAATACCTTTAATAAAACCAGGATGTCACTGCAAGTCTCTTCAGGATCACTTGTAACATTCTAGTTATAGTATCTCCCTAAGTATTTAATTCTGAAAGGCATACGAAAGGAACAGATGAAAGATGTTTAAACACATATATATGTGTGTGTATGTATTCCAAAATAAATATATATATTTGTAAGACCCTGCAGGGCCACTCTCTATCATCTTTTAACTGTTGTAGAGGCATTTCCCTTTCCCAACACCCAGGATAAGAAATGTATTAGCAAACTGGACACACAGAACACTCAGAGATGACCGCTTGCCCTGTGAGAAGAGGCTGAAAGAACTGGCTCATCCTGGAGAAAAGACAGCTTAGGGGGAACAAAACTGTACCTCCCTAGTGCATTAAATTGCTGGAAAGAAAAAGACAGGCTCTTCACATCTGTTCTTGGCAAGGTAACAAGAATCAATGAACATAATCGTAATAAGAAAGGTGTTTCCCCATGAAGACAGTCAGGCACAGAAGTTGGCTACACAGAGAGGCTGTATCCTCTTTATCCTTTGAGGTTTTAAAACCTGACTGGACAAAGCTCTGAGCAACCTGGCCTGACCTCATAGGTGGCTGTGCTCTGAGCAAGCAGGGGGACTGGTTGTCTCTTGAACATGAAGCAGACTCTACTCCTATAGCTATAACAAAACCTAGGCACAAGCTCATTGTAGATTAGTCTGTTAGCTTATACAGCTTTTTCCACAGATAAAGTTCAGGACACTCCATTTCTGGAACATTTTACCATACTATAAGATTCTGACCTTTAAAGAAAGCATCTGATTTCCAAGCAGTTGTGGTGGGTTGACTTTGGCTGGGTGTCAGATGCCCAGCAAGCTGCTCTGTCACTACCCTCCTCAGCAGGATAGGGGGAGAAAATAACATGGAAAAAACCCTCCATGGATCAAGGCAATTTGATAAAGAAAAAACAAGGGTCATGCACAGGGAAGCAAAGGAAAAACAAGATTTTATTCTTTTCTTGCCATCAGTAGGAGATGTCCAAACATGTCCCAGGAAGCAGGGCTTCAGAAGATGCAGTGATTGCTCCAGAAGACAAACATCACAAATAATGCATGCTTTCCCTTCTTCCTCCTCTGTCTTAGTGTTTATATCTGAGCAGACACTGTATTGCATGGAATTACCCTTTGGTCATTTGGGGTCAGCTGTCCTGGCTGTGTTACCTCCTGAGATCTTAAACACCCCCAGCCTACTGGTGAGTGTGGGGAAGGTTGGAGAGACATCACTGATCCTGTGCCAGTGCTACTCAGCAGTAGCCAAAACAGTGGTGTGTTGTCAACACTTTTCTAGCTACCAATGCAAAGCACAGCACTGTGAGGGCTGCTACGTGGAAAAATAACTCCATTACAGCTGACCCAATAGAGCAGTATTCTCATGAAACCATTAGAAAAATGTATTTCAGTTCTCTTTTTGGGCACTAAGAAGAACGATAGCTTTTATTTGATTTTAGC